ATTATTTTATAACAAAGGGAGTATTATTCATAAAAAAGTGATATATATAAAAGCAAAGTTAGAAAAATTGAAAAAAGACATAACAAGTCACGTGCAAAAATAGACCAGAATCATAGACCAGAATCGGAGACCATTTTGTCGGGTCAGCGTCTATCTCAATTATTCCCCAACCGCAAGTAAGCCGCTCGCTCTTTCTTATCTTTTCTTTCTTTTCCTTTCTTCTTTTTCTTTTTTTAATGTTTTTTTGTTAGCTTTAATCGTGGCTTTATGTTTTTTTTTTTTATATGATCAGATAATACACTAGAGTTATATAATAAGATATTATATATATATATATTTAATTTTTACTCATCATGTCAAAGTTTGAACTTGGACATCTTAAAATTGAAAATTTAAATTATTAATTACTTTTAGTATATTTGATTTAAAAAGATAAAAGAGTTTAACTAATTAAATTATAATATTAAAAAATATATAATTCAATTAATTAAAGAGTTGCACTTACGGCCTTAGCCGCGATGGCAGTGCACCTACGCCCTTCGCTTCTATGTCAAGGGTTCAAGCTGCCAATGCATCAATATTATAATTATTTCCCCTTTCCCTAATTTTTCACTGGTCAAAAAAATTAATTAAAGAGTTTTTCTCCTCTCAACTCAAATATACTATTGAAGTTGTTTTAATGGCATGTCTTTATGATTGGTTTCTAACAATAGATTAATTTATGGAACATTTGAAAGTACTGTGAAGTGTTATGGTTATAATTATAGTTGTATTAAATTATATTATAACTATAGTTAAAAATTATTTTAATATTTGATTATTTATTTTTTAAAAGTATTATGAATAAAATATGGTAGGTTTTATTAATTATTAATTAAAATTTTAAAAATATTATAAGACATAATTATTAAAAGATATAATATTTATTATTTCTTAATAATTTCAGTTTTTTAAATTTGCTATAAATATTAAAATGTTATAAATTATGATATAATTGAATTATACAAGATTAAATTTTAATGCGTAATTTTATAATTATATTAAATATCAAATACTCTTCATAAAAATCATAATCAGAAAGTTTTAAAATGAGATTTTTAGTTATATATATA